TACGAAATCATATTCACGGTTTGTAAAAAAAATGAAAAGACAGTTAAAATCCTACAATTCCTAGTGGAAAATATGCTTATATTGTATTGCGTAAATAAATGTCCAAAACACTGTATTGAATGTGTGTTGTGGTTTATTGTCTGCACCAAAACGCTAGAGTCGTTTTCATATGACCGTGAAAGAATAGGCAAACTAATAGTTAGTAGTAGACTCTAAACCAATGATTTTCTTTTGTTCTTTATCAACTATTACAAACTAAATGGTCTATTTTCTTTCACGGTCATATGAAAATCACTCTAATGAAAGTTTGAAAACGTTAATGAACCCACGCAAACATATTCATGCTGCCAAATTCCATGCTAAATTTCTTAATGAACGTTCCATCGCACTATTGAGACTTGTTTCGCCTTATAGTATGCCTGTTCGCTCTAATGACAATGCTTCTTCACTTCAATGAATATTCCTTTGCGGTTAATGAACAGCAAAAGGTGTACAATATTTTGCCAAAAAAGCATACATTTTTTGAAYCGAAAGCTAAATAAGTAGTTTTTGAAAATCTATTTATCTAGTTAATCTTGAAGAAAGAGGGATAGTAGGGGGGCATTTAAATAAAACGTTCGTTGAGAATGGAGTCAACGCAGTAGGTTTTATAAAGTAACATCACATTAACCAAATATTTAATGTAAGCTCGCAAGAATTAGAACGTGGCTGCAGGACGGGTAAAAACTTTGAATTCAAATGCTCAAGCTCTAGTGCGCGCGCGAACCAGCTGAGCGATTAAGACAAAGGGAAGCATTTTGATTATTGAGGAAACTAAATAATAATACATGTAAAAGTTTTCTTAGATTAAATTGATAATCATTTGAGCTTGGCAACTAAAATGACGGTTTTCAGTGTATCAGTACATTACACTGCAGTGTATCCAACTTGTCACGCAACAAAATCTAATGTTGCAAGGGACTATCACGGTGATATTCTGCACGCTRATTGGCTACAAGCTACATAATTCAAGATGGCAGCCGCTTCTGCACATAAAATGTTGCGTGACAAGTTGGACGAGTGATAAAAAACGAGCAACAAATGGCAAATTTGTTGCAGAAAGTTGATCTACGTTCTACTTTTCGCAACAAGTTTTCCCAACTTGCAACGAAAGATTTTGTTGCGTGACAAGTTGGATAGATAGGGCGTAAAACGAGCAACATTGTTTTCGAACTTGCACCGCAACAATGTTGCGCGACAAGATGGACGTTTGTGTGTCTCGTATTTCAGCGCCTTAATGACCAACATTTTTTTTGCAAAATATGTTTTGAAAATAGATGTACAAGAAAAAGTTTTCATGTACGCTTCTTTTGTGTCTTCTTTT